ACTTCTTCGAAAAAATGGATAATTCTCCAGTGCACACGCTAAGAGAACTCGGTAATTATGACCCTACGGTGGACAGCGTGGTGAAGAGACCTCGGTCAATTCACCATAATGCGCGGTGGTGATGTAAATATGTAAATAGTGTACATATGAAGTTGTGTTTTGTGCTCTATCTAACCTTATTTAACCAAGTACTGTGTTACTGCCAAAATTAGCTATTTGCCTGCAAGCAGGCTAGAGACTCTGAATTAATTACTATGTGTTAAGGACTGTGTTTCTGTGATCTCACCACGCTCACTGCTGTGGTTCTACTCCTGATTACCTGTTGGACTGCGTACCCTATCTCAGTAACCTTACACTACTGTCCTGACCTAATGCATCATGCAAGAACTTGAATGCTCGATGATTTTGTTTTCCAAGCACTAATTTCCCAATTTTCGTATATTCAGCTTGACTTCGTCCACGGAATGATTGCACCTTGTTCTAATGTCACGCCCCCGGGCGAGGTGCAGTAGCACCTTAATGTACTAAAAACCGTGAATGGCCTTCATAGGCTGCACAGATTGTACAGGTCAAAACTCAAAGTAGTTGTATACCTGAGGTGAATCAGAAATAAATAAATAAAGTTCGTGTAGTTTGGACTTGAATGCTGGATGATTTTGTTTTCCAAGTACTAATTTCTCAATTTTCGTATATTCAGCTTGACTTCGCCACGGAATGATTGCACCTTGTTCTAATGTCACGCCCCCGGGCGAGGTGCAGTAGCACCTTAATGTACTGAAAACCGTGAATTGCCTTCACAGGCTGCACAGATTGAACAGGTCAAAACTCAATGTAGTTGTATACCTGCGGTGAATAAGAAATAAATAAATAAAATAAGTTCGTGTGTTGTTTAGTTTGTTGTTTTTTAGAAAACTGCTCTTGTTGATTGTAGCGAATTCGCTGATTAGCTTTCTTTAGCTGTTTTGAATTACGTTCTATTGGACATTTGAGTAGTTAAAAGATAACTACTGTGAGATATTGTAATACTGCATGATAATTTGAGAAAATTTAAGCATTTTTGTTGTGATAATAATAAATTTTTGTTCATTTTCATCGGACTTGTGCATTCATTTCATAACGAACCCGTACGCACGCAACAATTTTTGGTGTCAGGAGTGGGATTTGAATGCCAATAACAAGAGCGATGGAAGAACATTCAGGCAAAAGATGACTACATTTGCTGCTGTCCAAGAAAAGATGGAAGGAACCGTCAACTCCGTTAAGGAAGATGTAAAAGCTGTACAAGAAAAGATGGAAGCTGGCCAAACATCTTTTAAAGAAGAAATTAAAGAGAAAATGGATGCTGGTCAAATATCCGTTAAGGAAGAAATGAAATTGGGCCAGGAATCCGTAAAGAAAGAGATGAAATCCCTTAAAGACGAGATGAAATCCCTTAAAGACGAGATGAAAGCAGGTCAGGACGAAATGAAAAGAGAAATTACCTGCGTAATAGAAAATAAATTTGAGGCTATGGAAGGCAGGATAGACGCGGTTGAAATTAAAGTTGGACAAATTGAAGAAAACGTTTCTTCTGTGAAAGCGCAAATAGAAGACAGAGTTTCGGCCGTGGAACAACAAATAGTTTACAAAGTTGATTCAGTCAAAGAAGAAATAGAAGGAAGAGTTTGTTCCGTTAAACAACAAATTGATGAGAGAGTTTCTACAGTTGCCAAAGAAATGGATACTTTAAAAGAAATTTGTAGCGTCGGCAAGGAGGAGTGATGATTTTAAATTCTTACCGATGCCTGCTCGTCCATTTCTGAAGCTATCCACATATGATGGGAAGACATCCTGGCAAGTGTATAAGACCCAGTTTTCTATCGTTGCGGATGCGAATGGATGGGATTCCCAAGCTAAGGCCTGTCATCTCGCCGCTTCTCTGAGAGCAGACGCAGCGGATATCCTGCAGACGCTTCCCGAAAATCAAAGGCTAGATTTCGAAGCTCTATCCGGCGCTTTGGAGCTGCGCTTCGGCGAGAAATGTTTAAAAGACTACAGCAGGCTCCAATTAAAATCCCGTCAACAGAAGCTCAGCGAAACACTTCAGGAGCTCGCCACAGATATTGAAAGGCTGTCACATCACGCCTTTTCGGAGTGCCCGATAGAAACAAGGGAAATACTGTCCCTGCAATATTTCATCGATGGCATCCGGGACCCTGAAATACAGAAAGCACTGCGAATGGCGGATGTTAAGAGATCTGAAAAAAGCGCTTTAGTGTACGCCAGGAAATTTGAGGCAGCCCAGCAAGCCACTCGTAGAGACCGCCACCCAATCAGAGCTGCTCATGTCCAGAAACCAAGGGATCAAGTCACCGCTCGTCTAGACGATTTAACCAGACAACTGAATGCCTTGAGACGAAATATTAGAGACAAGAAATCGACCTTAAAATGTTGGAAATGTGGTATTGAAGGGCACATGCGACGGCATTGCAGAACACCCCAGGGCACGGATAATAAAATGGATGATTTGACAAGACCAGAGAAGGCCTTGAGACGAAATATTGGTGAGAAGAAACCAACCATAAAGTGCTGGAACTGTGGAACTGAAGGCCACGTACGAAAGGATTGCGGAACACCCCAGGGTACGAAAATTGAGACCATTTCTGAGCAACGACGCAGGAAACAAATTAATGACCATATCAAGGAACGGAGGTTGCCAGATAATGAAAAACCCTGTTTTAAAGCGCTCAAGATCTCTATAGTGAGTGGCAACAATAACGGACTGTCCATCAATGGGAATATCGATGGAGTTCCTTGCAATATGATCATTGACACAGGAGCTAATGTTACCATCATTAGGAAAGATTTAGCTGAACAGTTTAAAGATAAACTTATTTGGACGCCATCCTGTGTTACCCTTCAGACTGCGTCTGGTGACAAGATCGACATAACTGGGAAGTTAAACGTGAACATCACGTTTGGAAGTGCCGCCTACCATCACACGGCATATGTGGCGGATATTACAGATCCATGCATACTCGGATTGGACTTTTTAAGGAAATACAATTTTTTCTTAGATTTGAAAAAACAACAAACTGCTTTCAGCATCTGAAGACATGACTATCCATCCTAAGAAGGGATCCTCACCTGGAAATTCCGACGCTTTGTCCGAAAGAACCAGCTCGAGAAACTGCCGAAATCATGCTAGGGTCGAAAAGAAACACCAGACTACCAGCTATTCTCCATCTCAGATGCTCTTCGGTCGAGACCTTCGTCTGCCTTGTGACCGCCTGTTTGATCGCCATACGGATGCGCCTTCATCGCCTGAGGAACACATCCAAGATGTCCAGGCCCGTTTTGAAGTGATGCACCGTTCCGCACGAAAGCGAGTGAACTTGGCGACGGAGAAAGTGAAGACCAGATACAACACGAGAGCTACTGGACATAGATCCAACAAAGGAGACAAGGTGTGGTTGTGGAACCCGATTCAACGAAAAGGACTCAGTCCTAAATTACAGTCACCTTGGGATGGTCATATACAGTGCTTAAACAGGCTGAATGACGTCGTGGTTCAGATCCGTCGGAATTCTAAACCTAAAATCGTTCATTGCGACAGGTTAGCTCATTACTATGGCCATAGTACGTAATGTAAATAATTGTAAATAGTATAAGACCATGGTCCTTTTTGTTTTTAAATGTCTATTTGATATGATTTGTATTTAGTATTTGATTTGCATTTAGTATTTGATTTGCATTTAGTATTTGATTTGTTTATCTATTACATTTATTTTTCATGTTGTTTGATATTGTAATGTAATGTTTATGCCTCAGTTGCATTTATGCCACAGTTGTAAGTTTAGCTTCCTGTCCAGGGATTGTACTGCCCGGGACGTGCAGTCCTTGGGAAGGGGGCAGTGTTACGAATTTGGTATTTAAAAAGCTAATGTTAGTTCAATTATAAATTAAATGGTTTTATTTCTCGCGCAGTGCAGCGCGTGACGAATATTAAAAGAAAGCTAAGCCGGAAAATTGAAAATACAAGAGCGCGTGCATTAAATAAATAAATATCTCTTTTTGATTTCGAGAAAGTACTGGAAAATTCTAGCGCGTGATTTTAAAATCTTATAAAAGGAGGAAAACATCTCAGTTCGTAGTAGTTGCTTAGTTTTGTTGTTGTTTAGAAAAACTGCTCTTGTTGATTGTAGCGAATTCGCTGATTAGCTTTCTTTAGCTGTTTTGAATTACGTTCTATTGGACATTTGAGTAGTTAAAAGATAACTACTGTGAGATATTGTAATACTGCATGATAATTTGAGAAAATTTAAGCATTTTTGTTGTGATAATAATAAATTTTTGTTCATTTTTCATCGGACTTGTGCATTCATTTCATAACGAACCCGTACGCACGCAACAGTATTGAAAAGTTAGAATTTTGATTTCATGCCATCAGACTCTTCAAATGCAAGTTCCTTTTCTGGTTAATGATACAAAGCCATCAAAACGTCAAGATATTTTTAACCCATATAAGATTAAAAAAATAGTTCTGTATATTTAAAATATTACTGAACAAATTTTACTACAGATTTGTAGATCAACAGAAACTTTGAAATAATTAAAATTTTAGCCAACATTAATATTTTAATTGTTTCAGTATTAATAAGTATTAACTGCTAATTTGGAAACATAATTTTTTTCTTTAATACTTAGAATTTTCTCATGATAATGTGATCCAAGACTTACATTTTCTTATATTGGAAAATTTAATGCAATATTTTTCACTTCCTCAATAAGTATCAAGTAATATGTTATGTTCCAAAATACTAGGAAAAAATTGAATTTAAAAGCGAATAAAACCATACTAAGCTATTGTAAAATTATTTATTTATTTATTGTATGATCACGTTAATTATTTTAACTGTTAAGCAATACGATTTTACTGTTTTAGCTTCCTTATGCCAGGAATTTTCACTCAGTGTCGTGGAGGAAACATATTTATCCATTTACAAAATTTGATAAAATTCTAACATGATTAACATCTTTATTTATAAAACATAGCCCAAAGAAGTCAAGTAAAGGCTTTTGAACCAAAATATTGAAGAAATATTATTTAAGTACTAAAAATGACCTCTTCTGCCTGTGGAAAGTTTTCAGTTTTTCTCATAGTTCTCGAAGTTTAATTGCTTGGATATTCTGTAATAGTTCTATTTTTTACAAAACACAGTATAAGAAAAGAAAACTCCGATTAAGTTTTTTAGTTTATTTATCATTCGTTGAAATTAATTACAATGCACTTTCTTTATCCTTTTGTTTTGCAATTCATGATTTTTTTTCTGTTCTTTTGGTTAACACAGATCTTTACAAGGAAGAAAGAAGGAGCAGCAAAAGGGCTTAAGAAAATATTCTGCATCCATAAAAAAATAAAAGAAAGTCGTGGCTTTACGAATAGATGATCGAGATTTTTTCATCTGCTAAGTTGGATAAAAGATAACAATTTGTAATGCTATTGATAATATGAAATACGTAATCCGAATATAAAATAGTAATATTGTGTTATTCATGATTATATATTTCTCACGCTTGATATTTGCCTTCTCAGGAGTTCTATTATATATTGTGAAGCGTAGGGAGTAAAGAAATGTAGAAATTTAAAGAAAAGCTTAAATTTAAAGATTCAGAATTTTCTTTACCTTTTTTTAAATTAAGCATCCTTAAGTGCAATAAATTTCTAGCATACAAAAATTTAAATAAACGTTCTTCAAATTCTGAATGAAGGTAAAATAATATTTTGTTTTAAGGATTCATTTATCATTTATTTTTATTCAAAATAAATCCTTTAATTAAAAAAATGGAAAAGAAACAATATAATAGCTCCTTTAAAATTGAAAATTTTTTATCGTCAGTGTAAGACAAAACAATTATAAAGAAATAATTGCCAAATTGATATATATATATATGACATTTTGGTAAATCTTCAATACATTTCTTAAAGCAGCTGCTTAAGTTACAAGTTAACTCTAACTTATTTTCTTGAATTAAAAAAAAATAATAAAGTTGGATTTAATGCGGTTTAAAACATATCTTGTTGGCATCATATCCAAAACACGAAACTACGTTTTTCATTGTTTTTATTATATGTATTATATAATTTATCTTTCGATTTTTTTATACTGAGATAAAAAGAAAGAAATACTTATTTTCTAAGATGATATAAAACAATTATTATGCGGAATTCGAATTACTCGATCGAAATTTATTCGAACTTCGGGTTCATTTTTCTTGAAACTTCGGGTTTATAAATTCGTGGTTTTTGGGTGGTGCCGACAATTTATGCATAAAAGAGCTCTCTGATAGGGTAAAATAGATATAGAATAGATTATGATTGGCAGATGTGGATATTAATTAAAATTTACTAGAAACAATTTCTTTTACAAAACAATTTTCTCAATCCGTACATACTGATATTTTTTGGATATCTGTGTTCCATCGAATCTTTATCTATGAATATAAATTCCAAATTAATTCTCTTTGTCATTTAAATTTAAATATAATTTCTACTCAACAAATTAAATATTAATAAAATCAGTTATTTAAGATCTCTTAGGAATTTTTTTTCTCGATTTTTATTAAACGAATCAGAATTATTTCATGAACTTCAAGTTTCACGTACTTAAAATTTCAAGATATCGATAAATGCATGCAGAGTCTTATTCTGTTCCAAAGTTTAGGAACACGTAATTGTTTTTTCAGGGAACTGTCAGAAAATGGAATATTTTGGAAGAAAAGAAATTAAAACAGGTATTCGATTTGCGGGGAAAATATAATAACATTAAAATGGCATTAAATATTTAAGTTACAACCTACTCTTACTTAACTAATGCAAGAATTGTTTATAAATTTCTTTAATAGTCTAGGATATTTCCTTAGAAGTTACAGTTGTGTTGCTGATTTCGGTCTGTGATTCAAGTGCGTGGCTTATTTCAGACTTTTCAGAAATTTGTGTTTCAAGGTCTTCTGTCCCGAAAGTCTTTCTGTCGTCTAAAGTTACATCAACATGTTTACTACCTGTATTCGATTCACTTTGATAATCTGTACTTAATCTACGTGAGAGCATTGCGCTCGATGTAGAGGTGATATTATCATCTTTACTTTGCGAACTCTGCCCCATCTCTTCGGAACTGATGAATTCACTCGACGTCGCTTCTATTTTTTCACTTCCGGTAGCGGAATCCTGAGGCATATTATTGGCGTTGATAAACATATTCTGGTTACTGTCTGATACCGTTTTTTCTACGGAGGAATGTTTTTGGTTTTCTGACAGTCCGTCATCTTCTGTAAAATTTTGGTCAAACCCAGTACCGTTACCGTCGTCTTCTACTTTATCTTTTTTGTCCATCACATTTTGCGCTGCTGCAGGGTAAATTTCTTCTTCCCTAAATGTTGCCGGCAGGTGGTCATCATACACCTGTTCGGCTTCTCCAAAAACTAAATGTGGCGGGTGCGAATTATATCTAAATCCAGGTACTAAAACCCCATAAATACTTTTCTTTGTCACAGTTAAGTAGCCATTGGATTTCTGTGACGCAACTCCAGGTTCATTACTTGTGACATCAGCGCGAAAACCGTTGCGATCTGCAACATAGTTGACGATTCTCACACGACCATCCCCAACACGTAGACCGTAAGATCCCATCTTGTTGCCGAATCGGTCCGTCGTTTCACGACGAAATGAACCACCAGTTGTATGATCTTCATTGTATCCGAAAGCCGCTTGGCCCAAGGTCTGTAATGAAAACATCAAATTTAAGCTTTAGTTAACCATTGAAAACAACGCAGAATAAAAGTGTTATTTAGGAAAGTGTTACTGAAAGGACTTATTAAAATATTTACTCATGATTATGCAAAATAAATATGATGAGTTAGTTTTCATTTAGGTAATCACTACAAAGTCTTTGGAAAATTTCCATACATTTATTTGCCTCAAGTTTCGGGAGGTACTTCGTTGCTTCTGTGTTAAATTGCTTTCTCAGGTAACTTAAAACCGTCTCCCCAACAATCTTGTACTACAATTAAAAATGTTTATTAAATTTTGAGACAAATTATCGTCTAATTTCGCCTAAGGGAAAAGCATGCAATTTTGTTAAATTAGTATAAATCATCTCAGTTTGGATAAGTTTCACTTATTTTCTTCTATTTTGAATTCAAGCGATCAGATTCTTTCAAATAAGGTCATCAAGTCATTTTAATTTCTTTAGAATTATTCATTGAAATAGATATTACAATACACTTCTTTATATCTGTCCTGAAATATATTTATATATATAGCCCTCGATCGGGAGGTAATATTTTCCTTTTTAATTTCCTAACTCTGTCCTCTCGCTTCAGAACTACAGAAGTACCATGAGAAATAATTTCAATAAGTTAAGAAACAATCCAGACAAATAACTCCTATATTACCAATAATCTGTTTAGTTCGAAATGAAATTTTTAGATTCCTGTTGTCTTAACATAGGCGCGAAATGCGAAAAGTAAAAAATTGAACTAAGGATTTACCGAAATAATTATCTTTTCGCAATTCACAATTACTTCAAAACAAGAATGTAAAATTGTGATGAATTAAATTTCTTTATAAGGCAGATGAAAATTTTTATTATTTTATTTCAAAATTTAATGCAATGTTGTTTCTAAATGGAAAAAAAATATAGTTGAGTTTAATTTTTTTTAAATTTATTTTATATTTTCGTATCTAGTAATAATTTTTTTACTTTAGATATTCTCGTTACCATTAGTAAACTTACATTTTGGCTCACATATTGATCACTGAAACCTCGCTCCCATGTCGGTTGCTGCCGCTGGGCCATCAGAAGTTTCCAATTGCAGAAAGCTATTAAGAAAGGTATCCAAATCTCCTGAAAATTAAAACCAAAAATGCAAGCGATTTTTAAAAAGATAATTTCGAATTATCAACAAATAATAATTTGCATTAATTTCGTAGTATTTATTGAGCAAGTAAGTAGCATCGAATGAAAGCATTTCTGCTCTATGCTTGCCTGCATTTTCTCCCTATTTAATCCATATCCTCCCTATTATTTATAATTGATAATTTTGCTCATAAAAGAGTAAAACCACTATGAATGCAAATACTTTGAAATCCGAAAAACTGTATACAGATGATGACTTTAGAAGACTTTGAAACCACTTTACATATAATCCTGCTTTGCTACTTTTGAAAAAAGAGGAAAATATCATTAAACGGGAAGTAAAATTTTTATTCTTATGTAGATTTGAGCAAGGGAAATAAGACATATATGAGTCATGTAATAAAAGCATGAAAGTTCTACAGAAGAAATTTTAAAAAACGAGTTCTCGATAGGGATCATCGATTTTGATAAATATTTTCTTCAAAAATTCTTGAGATATGTTTCTCGCAAAGAGGGTGTCCACCAGAGGCCGAGCGGTAAAGTCGCTGAACACTAGTAGTTCTGTCCAAGGTTCGAATCCCGCGAACACGCTGGCTGTATGGGCGTTTTAATGGTTTTCCCCATGTGCAACGTGTATACGAGCTAATTTCCCTTAAAACGTCCTCCAAGAAGGCCTCCCTCCCCTTAGGCAAACAACCCTTGAGGCTGCCGTAATCATATAAACCAAACATCGCAGAGAGGAAGGAAGGGCCTCAAAAGTCTGTCACAAGTTAGCTTCTTGCCTAAAATGCTGTACCATACTCATCAGTTGCTTGTAACTTTTATTCATAATAAATATTTAAAATTTTAAAATTAGTAAATGAACTTCGTTTTATATTGATTGAACATCTCATTTCTCTTGTGCATTTACGTAGCAGATGTACTGCAATTACGCCTGCTATTTTTAAAATAAAATAATTCGGAACGTTAAAAAAATTACGGCAGACTTTTGCTATTCAAATGAATGGAAGAAAACATAATTAAATCCTCTTTGCGGTAAACGACAGCATTAAGAACATCATCTGCTTAGACAATCACAATTATTTCGTCATCTTCAGTTTATATATTTTACGCTTTCCTATTTGCGCAGAAGAAAATTTTAGGAAACCTAATTACTCAGTTTAATTGACATGTTTTTCTAACCCAAAATTCTGAAACATTTTAAATGCTTCGGTATTTTAACCGAAATGATATTTAAATGATAGATATGCAATCATTTCAGATATATTTACTTCTTAAAAAACAGAAAAAGATGAATTATTGAGTACTTGTTCATTTTTTTTTTTTGCAATTATTTTGCTCTTTTTGATTTCTATTATATTTTTTATATTAACTATAGAGCATCTCGTTATTTAACAGCTATCTCAAAAAGAAAAATATTTTGAATTATTTTACTTTTCTGCTGCAGTACTTCTACGTTAACCTCTAAATCATAAGTAATATCTCTAACTTTCTATCTGCTATTTCTTGAAAATCATTTATTTTCGGTAGAGTAATAAATTTAATCCTATCCAAAGTTTTGCGATTCTTTTCGCGAATTTAAGAAAATTTTCTGATATTTTGCAAATATCAGATTTTTAAGTAAATACCTAATAAACTCGCGAAGTTCAAAATTTTTCCCATCGTTTCTTATTTTTCATATAAATAATAGATTTGTTTTCTAAGTAACTTTCGTATTACTATATATTAAAATTTACGTAAAAATATTACTGCAAAATAAATCATTCTAAAAAATCAGAAATGGAACTTTGAATTATTTTTTTAAAACAATGGAATTTGAGGAAAGAATGCTTTGTTAACTTATTTATAAATTCCTTTTAGTTGTCTGTCAAACCCGAAAAACAGTTTCGCTTCTGAATGATTCGTTTTCTAAATTTAAAAGTGTGCTATCTGATCATAAACTGTATATGTGTGCGACATAATACGTAAAAATTCTGTGCCTTTAAATGGCATTTGATTGGTTTATAAATATAGGTTTCAATTTGAAAAAATACAATAAGCCAAATCTTATTTAACTTATTTATGTACCAAGTACATTAAGACTTATAAATGGCAATTTATTTATTTATTAATCTTAGAGCAAATTCTAGCCCCGAAATTATTAATGAAAATCTTAGATATTTTATAGGTATATTAATTGCTGCAATCTTAGGTATTTTTAATCTTAGGTATATTATTTGCTGCAAAAAAATGTTCCGTCTTTACGTAATAATATTACTGTTCTATTGTCTTTTTATCAAATGGATTTATATTCACAGCGAAAATCACAACTTGAAATATTCCTTTACGTTGAAATACAAATAAAAATGGCAAAGTGAATTATTATTTCACAGCTAATCTTCATGCTGCAAAATAATTTATGGTTTCCATGTATACCATTTTCTCTGAAATTATTAGTCCATAGAAGAGTCAGATCAAAAGGACTCTTTGTCTCAAAACGGGATTTTCCGTTGAATCGCTGTAAAAAGCTGAATCACTTTTCAGATTGTTGCCGTCAAATATTATCTTCCTGTATTATTTTATAAGAAATTAAATAAAGGAGAATCTGCATGAATGTAGGTTTTTTTCTTGCATTGTGAAAACATGCCGGTATTTAGAGACATCCAATTTTGAATAACGTAGTCTTCCACCTGAACATGGGCTCCTGGCGGCCCGGATTTTGAATTTCTGATTAATTTTATTATCTATTTCACATTCTGTAAAACTTTAACGAATTTTTGATTAACAAGCTCAACAATTTTAAAGCGAGCAATGGCAACACTATACGATTAAAAAAAAAAAAAAAAAAAATTTTATCTCTAGCGCGTGAGATTTTCTGTTGGAAATTCTTAAGCTATTTTTAAAAAATGTTTGATAGTTTCCTGTTGAACTGAATTTTATGTGGTTTAAGTGCGAAGAACATGATATTTAATAACTAAAGGTAACACATAAAACATTCAAAAAGTGCCCTTTTGGGGTAATATAAAATCTGAAAGCCTTCAGATTTTTTCTACGTCCTTTACATGTTATGAATAAAAACATGACGTTACTGAATTGCTCGTTGTACTATGATTTTAAAATTAAGATAGCTAAGGAAGTGACCAAAAATGATTTCCGTATTCGAAACAAATTTCTGAGCCATTAGATGTGTTTTACACCAAAGAGCAACTTTTTTATTAATTAAAAGATGAAAATTTTTAGGACCTTAGAAACTGTCCAAAACTTCTTTCTGTATTTCTTTAGTTTTATGCACGTACAATATAAAAAAGTCAGCTTTCCTTAAAAA